TTTTTTAGAGAGATAAACACATCTTGAGTTCATACTTACAATTCTTTCTTTTCTTTTCTTTTTCTTTTTTTTTTTTTTTTTTTTTGACTAGGGATTGAACTCAGGAACACATCCCAGCCCTATTTTGTATTTTATTTAGAGACAGTGTCTCACTGAATTGCTTAGAGCCTCACTGTTGCTGAGGCTGGCTTTGAACTTTGATCCTCCACCTCAGCCTCCCCAGTTACTGGGATTACAGGAGTATGTCACAGAGCTGTTGTTATTTTTTGATTTGTCTTATCCTTAAAGTCTATTTTAACAGGGATTAACAATCAAAACAACTGCTTTAAATAATTGTTCTGATAGTAAACCCACAAACCTTTTTATATCATTGGATTCAGTGGTTCTGTGTTACTTTTTTTTTTTAATTTTATTTTTTAGTTATAGTTGGCCACAATACCTTTATTTTATTTATTTATTTTTATGTGGTGCTGAGGATCAAACCCAGGGCCTCACACATGCCAGAGGACTGCATTACCACTGAGCCACAACTCCAGCCCRATTTATTTGTTTTTATGTGTTGCTAGGATGGAGCCCAATGTCTCACATGTGCTGGGCACGTGCTCTACCACTGAGCTACAACTCCAGCTCCACTTTTAACTTTTATGGTTTACTTTTATTGTCCATGTGAAAAATTCAAAAGAACCTATCAAAAAGCTCCTGGAATAAATAAATGAATACAAAAGTCAGGGGATGTAAGATCAACCTACAAAAGTTAATTGCTTGGGCTGGGGCTGTACCTCAGTGGTAGAGCGCCTGCCTCGCATGTGTGATGCACTGGGGTTCCACACGTAAAAAGAAAAAAAAAGCCCATTGACAACTAAAAAAAAAATATATATATATATATATATAAAGATTCAGTATAGTTGTAATATGGAAGGTGAGGGATGTGTGGCTGAAAAATCAAGCAAAGATTAGATATTACTACTACTCCTAACAATAATAATTGAGCCAGGATCTGAATACTGAGTAGCAAATAGACTAGTAGCAATATATTTGAATCTTACCACTTTCTAGATAGACACAGGGAGGCTAAAGAAGCAGCACAAACTACACAGCTACAAGTAGTAAAGCCTGTGTATAAGCCCTGACATCCAGGTTCCAGAGCCCAAACACTAGCACTCTGTTGCTTGACCCTGTGGGTCCACACAAGAAAGTAAGACTTAATCCCAAAGGTGATGATACTCTGATTTATTTTTTAATTTTAATTTTTTTTTTTTTTGTACCTGGGATTGAACCCAGGAAGACTTAACCACTGAGCCACAATTACAGCCCTTTTTTATTTTTAGATAGGGTCTCACTAAATTGCTTAGGGCGTTCCTAAATTGCTCAGGCTGTTTTTGAACTTGCAATCATCCCTGCTGTAGCCTCCCAAATTGTTGAGATTACAAGCATGTGCCACCTCCCCAGCTGAGACTGATTTTAAGCCAATGAGAGATGGAACCATGTTTGCATTAAAAAAAAAAATTATAAGTTGTAGATGGGACAAAATGCCTTTATTTTATTTATTTTTTATGAGGTGCTAAGGCTGGAATCCAGTGCCACACACGGTCTAGGCAAGCACTTTACCACTGAGCCACAACCCCAACCCCCATGTTTGCTTTTTAAAAAGATGATAATCTTTGACTATTCTGGAGGCAAAGTGGTCAGAGAGGAGTGTGTAACCATAAGCCAGCAAGACTGGCCAAGGGGACAATGGGAATGGGAAATGGGGACTGACAAGAGAATTACTAAGGAAATGGCAGGACTTGGTGACTAGAAATGGGATATGTGGGAGAAGGAAGAGTCAAAGATGAGTTTTTCTGCCTCATATTGGCCACTCAGAGGAAGTGCAGAAGGACTGAGAAGGCGAGATGACACAATCAACTGAGGGTATCCAGTAGGCACTAGACATTTGGATCCAGAGGTGGGGGTGGGATTCAAGAGCCCTGAACCTAGAGGTGACAGCAAAAGCCAGGGAACATTTGTAGCATGAGGACAGAAGACTAAACCCTGACAAAAACAAGGACTTAAGAACAGAAAAAGAGAGACTGGTTGGGGAGGTCAAGACCAACAGCCCAGTGCCAAGACAATCAAAGAAGTGTGCTCTTAGAGAAGTTGTTGGAAATCAGGGTAAGGCCAGGCTGGGGAAGCATCTATGGGCGTTGACACCTCTGTGTCCTTGATAATTTTTTAGAGAGCTGCTGGCAGGAATGAGGGTCAGAAGGGCAGAGGTGAGATACAGTATGACCTCCTTCCCCATTTGGCCTGTTGAACTCTTCCTTCAGGAAGCAAATGGGGTCTCTTCCAGTTTGGGATATCCCTCTTTAGAAGTTCTCAGCCCTGTCTCACTTGGGGAGCTTTAAAAAATACAAATGTTTATGATGATGGAAACCGGAACAGTGGTTCCCTGGGAAGGAGGGTTGAGGATCCACTGAGAAGAAACGTTTATGGGATAACCTTCTGCACTGATGGAAATGCCCTCAATTTTAAAAGGATTGCGAGTTGCATGGGTGAATTTATCAAAATATACACTTAACATCTTCTCATTATAAACTATGCCTCAAACATTTTGAGCACCAATTTTTGCAAAAGTATTAAATACCATGGTTCTTTTCTGGATGAGTTAAGTTAAAATCTCTGAACCCGTGGACTGGGCTTGGTATTTTGGAAGCCTCCAAACACTGTTAATGGGGAATCTGAGTCTTGCTGAAGGAGCTGATCGCCCACCTTTTCTGGCACGGCTCTATCTCGTTCCTTTAATTTGTTCTACTTAGTTGGGTCCCCGTTGGACTGTGAGCTCTGATATCCCATTTGATGAGCTCGGAGATCTTCACCTCGGACTCGGTCTTGAGGCCGAGTCTATTGCTCTGTTGGGTGCTGCCGGCGCGGTTCTGCTCAAGAAGCTTTTTGTTCCAGTCTAAGGGTTTTCAGAAACACAGTAAAATTTTTCGACTCCCGTGTATCAATCTCCATTTGCCGGCTACCCAGCTGTACAATGGTCATGAAGGGACCTGTCCAGCGTTGTGGMCAACCGGCCTCGTGGCGCAACGGTAGCGCGTCTGACTCCAGATCAGAAGGTTGCGTGTTCAAATCACGTCGAGGTCAGTTGCTTTTCTAAAGTTGCTTTGGTTTAATCCTACTCTCAATTTTGATCCAATTACAGTACTCGGAGAAGAAACATCTCTTAAAGGAGCAGGAAGGGGAAGGCTTCTGATGAGAAATTCCGTGGCCAACCCGTCCAAGGACCCTTGTGATTTCGCTGGGATTTTTTTTGCAGTCGATTCAGAAAATTCTGTGACAGGGGAGCTCCCAGAGACAGATTCAGCTCTCGACTACTCAGCCTAGAAGGAAGAGAGGTGAGCACTCGCGTACCTGAGAGTATGGCTGGGTCTTTGTGAAATCTGTTGGTAGGGATGGGCAGGATTCCTGTAAATGTGTTCTCTTTATAACACAACCATAATCCAGCTGCAGAAGTAAGAACAGGGGAGTTAGTTCCCAGTGAGAAGAAGACAGTGACTTCCTATACAGACGAGGTGGCCGAGTGGTTAAGGCGATGGACTGCTAATCCATTGTGCTCTGCACGCGTGGGTTCGAATCCCATCCTCGTCGGTTCGCGATTATCAAAGTCTGCGTTTCATTTTGTAATCTGTAGGTAAGAATTTCTCTTACCTCTTTTCATTGGCCTAGATTCAATGTTTCAGCACCACCCCTGCATTCTTTCTCTTCCCAGAACTTCTGTACTACTATTTCCTGCACTATAAAAATTATTAAACCCGTATATTTACCTGGTACAGAACTGACCTGGCCAGGAAAGTAAGGTTATGCATACCTTTGGCGGGCGCCGTGGCTTAGTTGGTTAAAGCGCCTGTCTAGTAAACAGGAGATCCTGGGTTCGAATCCCAGCGGTGCCTCCATAGTTTCTTGTATTTTGAAACAAATATCAGACCTTGCAAGAGTTATGGTCCCTTATGGACCAGCTCTCTGTATTCATTTCCTCTACGTTCTTTGAGCCCCTTCGCGGAAACTTCTAGACGCTACCAGGCAAATCCTATTTTGGGGATCCTCCTCGTGCCCATCACATTTATGCCTGATCCTGAAGCTGGTGCTTCAGTAGTCGTATCACCTGTGTTTGTCAGTATTGCAGTTTGGCTGTTAACTTATCTAAGTGCTCAGCTGGTCAACTTTTTTGCATCCTGAGTTTCCTAGAACAAATGATCAGTTATAACTCTCATGTAACTTCACTTTCTAACGTGGTGGTCAGGTGGCCGGTTAGCTCAGTTGGTTAGAGCGTGGTGCTAATAACGCCAAGGTCGCGGGTTCGATCCCCGTACGGGCCAGGACGGTAAAGTTTTGCCAGGAAGGAATCACTGTGCTTAATATTTTCTAAGGGGGAAATGGTAAACAAGGAAAGCGATATCGTGGACCTGGGACTATTTCATACCCAAAACCTACTCTAGTTTAGTTCATTATGGATAATTTGAACATACAGAGAAAGTGAGTTCTTTCTGTGATACCTAAATTTCATCCCTATAATGTGTACGGCGACCTTAGTTTGTGTTCTGTAAACAGAAGACTGCCAAGAATTGGGACAAAATTGTCTCAAATAATTACATTTGGACACCATCAGCAGAGTATGGCAAATGGTCAGGAATAGAGCTGTCAAGTATTCCCCATGTTACTCCACAGGCAAGATGTCCAGCAGCCAGCACCTGCCTGTCCATTAAGACCTAAGAAGATAATTTGCTTCCCCTCTTCAAGAGAATCTTGCTTGCATTCTCTGGCCCCCTGTGTGTGATTATCTGTTTCACATTTCCCTGCAGATCTGCTGCCTACAGCAGGAACCCCCATATCCTTTCCCATCCAATCTGGGACCCACACCCCACTCTCAGCCCCCACTCCAAGGGTAGCTCCATGACCCTCATATTCCCATTCCTTTGGATAATGGAATCCTGCCACCCCACAGAGATGCAGCCTCAGCCTTAGCAGCAGCAGCACTTTAATTCCACAAAAACTCAGAAAGCCAAAATGGATCAGAACATTCCACAACAGGTGGACTTCAATACCAGCAACAATTGGACCTGAACCCTGAGAGCAGTGAGACACCTCCCACTTCACCCTCCACCATGCAATGTATTCCTCTTCACACCACCCCAGTTCTGGCTGGGGAAGTGGTTTTGTAGGGAACCAAAGGGCAGAAGCAGCTGGTTAAACATCTGCAGGTATCCATTCTTGCCTGCATGGTGTGTGGCCAGGGGCCACTCAAGCTCCCAAAGCCCCTGAAACCTGAGATGTGGCCACCAGAGTCAGGATGGCCACAATGGGGCTGGGTCTCCTCTGTTCCCTTTTTGTGATCTTGTATGGGAATCATGTTCCCACTCTGAAACCGAGACTAAGACTCTGGGTTCCCAGGCTTGGTGTTCTAGCTAGGGAGGAGAGTTGGAAAGAACAGGGTAGCTACAGATGGCCAACTGAATAGAAGCAAGGCAACATCCCATCCCACCAGGAGAACTTCCCCCATATACACCTCCCTAAGACCCTTCGAGAKGGCACGGGCCAGCTAAACGCATTTGGAAGAACCTCCAACACCCAGGTCTTCCCACAGCGGGCAGTTCCCACCAAGGCTCCTTGAAGAGTCCTTAGGATCCAGCTGGGCCCTGCCAGGACTAGGCCCCGCCTCTTCATCTCTCCAGGTCACTTGCACAGGGCCTCCAACACCTCCAGAGTGCGTCGGATGTCTCGGACTTGGCGCGCCAGCCCCTGAACCGGCTGCAGAGCCCTCTCCAGCTCCTCGCATCGCGCCAGCAGGGTGTACATGCCCTTAATACTCATGTCCACGGCTTCGCCTAAGGAGTCCACCGCATCGCGGTAGGTCTGAATGCAGCCCACGCTCAGCGCTGTCAGCTCCTGCACCGCACCACCCAGCCCGCGAAGCAGGCGGTCCACCCGGCTGCCCAGATCGCGACTCAGCCGTTCCAGATCCCGCAGCACGTCAGGGTCGATGGGCGGGATGGTAGGAGTGGGTGCCGGTGCTAGGCAGGGACGCACTGGAGCAGGGGGAAGGGGCGGAGCGACGCCGCTCAGACGGATCTTGAGTTGCAGGTTGTTGGCGACAAAGTGAGTGAGGTCTCCGTGGCGGCTCACAGTGCCCTCGAGCTCCAGGGGACTGGAAATAGTGGCACGGCGTCCGCCGCCCGCGCCGGACTCCGCACCCCCTGCGGACCCCGCGCCTCCGCACGCCCCACTGAGCCCGTCCAGACTGCGGCTGTCCTGAAGGCGGCTGGAGAACGAGCGGCTAGCCCTGCCGGCCGCTGCCGCCTCCTCGTCAATGTCTTCCTCTTCCTGCTGCGGCTGTTCCACATTCATTTCGACGCCTCCCGGGCTCCCTCGACGGTCGATCCTCTCGGATGCAGGCTTGTCCTCCGACGGCTTAGGATCCTTGTGTCGGGAGGACAGGTTCGGGTCGTACTCGGAACCTGGCTCCCCGCGGCGGCTCCGGCTCCCAGACCGCGTCGCTCGGGGGCCGGGCTCGTTTTTCCAAGCCTCCGGTTCCAGCCGGCGGACTATGCTGCTGCTCGAAGTCTTCGGGGACGACCTGGGTTGGCGGCTCGCGCCCCCAACGTTCTTGGCCTCTTCCTCCCCAGACACCCTCAGGCCTGAGGGTGGCTTAGAGGGCGTTCCACCCTGCCCACCGCAGAAAATCGCGGCCTGCTGTTCCGCTAGAGCTAGAAGGTCAGCCTCCGACCCGGGCCGCCCCCGAGACGACTCCATACTGCGGGCGGGGGCCGGAACGGAGGAATTGGTCCGCCCGGGCTCAGGAGGCAGCCGCGGCGCCTTTAAGGGGCGTTGGTAGAGCCGCGCCGATTGGCCCCAAACTGACAATGGTTGGACAGGAAGAACACTTTGATTGGTTGTGGTGACCAGGAAGTCCCGGAAGAAGAGCTGTTATTGAACATCTGAACACACACGAGAGCCAGCCGGGTGGAGGGAAGGAGGTGACAGCTGCTCTCGTTGCCCCGCCCTTTCAGAAAGTTGAAGGGGCAGGTCTTCAAGATTAAGGTTCCGAAATACCGGAGCCCTGAAGGAGTGCAGCTCTCTTTCCGCCCATAATTGTCCCGTTTATAATTATTGCTTAGCAAACTCACCAACTAAGGACCAGATTCGGGGTTCCCCGAGACCCTTGGAATGGAAATAATATATCCTGCTTGGATCCTAGGGATTGAATCGTACCCACCTGACCAAGAAAAATACAACCAGAATTCTCAGCAGAGTATGAATAATTGGTTCTATTGTCCTGGGTTGACAGACCTAGCTGATGAACTGCCCAGAGCAACTCATTGTGGACAGCGATTCAGGGGCCCATGGGCTTTCCCGTACGTTTGGCATTCCTGTGTTTTCTGTCTCTCCCACTGGACGATGATGTGTGATTTTGTCCCAAGGTAAAATTCAAACGAGAATATCACAAATTCTGATAAGCACTTATTTTGCTTTGTTGGTGCGGAGATCAAATCCAGAGCCTTGTGCATGATAAGCATGTTCTGTCACTGAGCTACACATACATGTCCAAACCCCTCCCTAGGTACTTTTTTAGGATATAAAGGGTAGGGTTGTGATGACTGGACAGGCACTAGTTTAGATAAGGAGTTAAGCAAGACCTCTTTGATGAGAAGACATTTGAAAAGAAACACAAAGAGCTAGTCACCTTCCCGGCAAAAGGAAGAGTTGTGCTAAATCTCAGGGAGAAAAAAAAAAAAAAGATTGACATATTCAAGGAACTGGGGATGGGGTGGGCAGGAGACAGTTGGGCAAAAAAAAAAAAAAAAAAAAAGATCAAGGGAGATCAAGGGGGAGGGGGAGGATTTAGAACCACAAACTAAAGAAACAGGCAGAGGCTACCTCATGCAGGGAGGGGCCCCGAAGTTCCTGTTAGGAAACAGAGATTTCTTTCAAGTGCAATGGTACAGCAGACATTGGAAAATATAACCAAGACCCTGAGACATTGGTGTTTATTAAAAACATCTCACTCCTTAGCTGATAATGGATATGAATGTTCCTTTTTTCAAAAAAAATATTTTTTATGGTTTACTAATCCTTTTGTGAAAATTTCACACAATCTCCTCAGATAATGTCACTATAGAATCTTTACTCCTGCTTTTTTGACAGCATCAACATTGCCCTTTGCAGTTTGCAGTCCCCTGAATTTCTTCATTCTGTTCTTGTATTCCTTTCATTGTTTTTTTTATTTGTTCTAATTAGATAACATGACAGTAGAATGCACTTTGACAAGTCATACATAAATGGAGTATAACTTCTCATTCTTCTGGTTATACATAATATAGGCTCACACTGGTCATTTAGTCATAAATGCACATAGGGTCATAATGTCCAGTTCATTCTACTATTCTTCCTACCCCTATAGCCCACCTTTCGTTGTTTTCTTGAGGTCTTCCTATAAGAGGCTGTATCTTACAAGCCTGTGTTGTGGTTCATTTCTCTTTACACAATCCAAGGAATTGTAAACCATGCCAAAGCTTGCCCTCATAAAAATGAGTTCTGGATCCAAGTACAAAGATGTCATCTGATCATGGACACAGAGATAGACTGAGGCAGTGTCACACCTGCATTCAGAAGTGCAAGTGCCAGAACTTCCCAGTACTCACCTTCAGGTCTCGACAGCATCTTAGGCAGCCAACTCTGATGAGAGTAGCTCACTGTTTGACTAGGCCTGAAGAACTCACAATCACCAGTTGTCTTTGTCTTTTATTTACCTGCTGCTTGATAAAAACCCTCCCTCTAGTCTTAAAAAGGCTATATATATATTTGGGCTAGGTGTATATTCCTTAGAAGATAGTAGTACCTCCCTTGACAATGAGATGCTGAGCACAGAAAGGGAATGATGTGATGGATTCATTTTTGGGAATTATTGGCTGTTGCATGAAATGTTTACAAGGGGACTAATGGGGACAGGTAGGGTAGTAAAAAGAAGGTTACAAATATAAGAAAATGATGGCTCAGCCTAGTGTGATACAGTACAATTGTGCAAGTGAACATGTTTTAGATGCATCTTGAAGGTTTTAGTGGGTAAGTGCTCAGTTAACCAATGTGTAAGTGTAGTTTTTTATTCCTCACTCTATGAGGATTAATGAGGTGACAGCCTCCTTTATTGTGCCCAGGGATAGGCACATGACCCAAAGCTTATCAGAGTACTTAATACTTCTACCTGCAAATTGTCTCAGAGAAGGGAACAGAACATAGGCATGACCAGTAAAAGTCCTCCCCAGTGCTCCCCTGCACCTCTACACTAAGGGATAGAACCCAGGACCTCTTCCACGCCAGGTAGAAGCTCTGAAAGAGAAGACTGCAGGAAAGAATGAGGCTGATAAGTGACAACCAGAACCAGAGAAAAAAGATGGGAGAGGCATGTATCTTGGAAGCTCTTGAATTCCTGTGCCTGCCTGAGACCAGCCCCACCTTTATCCTTCCTATGATCTGGTTCCTTCACCACTTCCATCCCACCAAATCCTCATTCCTTCCTAAGTATTTCTTTCTTTCTTTCTTTTTTATTTTCTTTCTTTCTTTCTTTTTTTTTTTTTTTTGGTACTGAGGATTGAAATCAGGGCACTTAACTACTGAGCCACATCCCCAGCCCTATTTTTTATTTTATATTAGAGACAGGGTCTCACTGTTTATTGCCTCGCCTTTGCTGAGGCTGGCTTTGAACTCATGATCCTCCTATCTCAGCCTGAGTCTCTGGAATTACAGGCCTGTGCCACCACACCTGGCCACACAATGATTTCTTTTTGCAGCAAATGGCAACTCCATCTTTCAAAAGCCTTGGGGTTGCTCTTGGTTCTTCTCTTTTCATCACAATTCATGTCCAATGCTTGGTTCTACTCTAAAATACATAGACACTGTTTCCTTCTCATTTGCTGCTCCTACTCCTCCTGCTTCACCTATTTTCTTGCCTAGATTATTGAAGTAGCTTCGCCAGTGGTCTCCTTTACCCTCACCTCTCTACAGTCTATTCTCAATAGAGTGCCAGAGAGATCTTTTAAACTATAAATAATGTAGACTGGGAATATGGTTCAGGGGTAAAGTACTTGCCTGGCATTCATAAGGCCCTGGGCTTGATTCCCAACATCACAATAAAATTAATAATAATAATAATAATATCACTCCTTTGCTCACAACCTTAAAATGCCTCTGTTTCCTTAAATAAAACCCAAGTCCTCACCATGGCCTGTGAGGTCTGTGGTCTCATCTATTCCTTTCTGTTCTGCTCTGGAGACATACAAACATTTGGTGTTCTGCCTCTGTCTTTCCACTGCAAGGATTTCACCAGCTTTAACCTTTTGTTTTGTTTTGTTTTCAGAGTTCTTAGACTTGTACATCAATTGACATGGCTGCCCCTTTCTCTTTTGTACACTTGTCCTTTTGTGTGTAATTATCTAATTTGTTATGGGGCTTTGCCTTATTTATTTATTTTAATGCCAAGAAAAATTTTCAACCTGAGTAGTCTTCCTTCCCTTACATCCTTCAGGCCCTTTTTTTTTTTTCCAAACTGGGGATTGAACTCAGGGGCACTTGGCCACTGAGCCACATCCCCAGCCCTATTTTGTATTTTATTTAGAGACAAAGTCTCACTGAGTTGCTTAGTGCCTGGCCATTGCTGAATGTGGCTTAGAACTCACGATCCTCCTGCTTCAGCCTACCCAGCTGCTGGGATAACAGGCCTGTGCCCTGTGCCCGGCTCCTTCAGGCCCTTTTTCAGATGTAACTTTTCAATGAGGCCTCCTCTGGCCACCTATTTAAAACTGTAGTCACACCAGGTGAGGTGGCTCATCCTTATAATCCCAATTACTTGGGAAGCTGAGGCAGGGGGATCATAAATTTGAGGCCAGCCTGAACAATTTAGCAGGGGTATTAGAGGTCAGTAGGTGCATCAGTTAATTTAAGACCACCCAATTTTGTTTCATGCCATACCATTAAAAAACAATCTGTAAAATCAGCACAGCTCTTCTATTAGATTTGTTCTTTTACATAATCAGTTGAGATATACAAAAAAAATAATTATAAAAAAACTACTAAAAAAAGAATCAAGCTGGATGTAGTGGCACGTTCCTGTAATCCCAGAGGCTCAGGAGGTTGAATCCGGAAGATCACTAGTTTGAGGCCAGCCAACTAGTGAAGCCCTAAGCAACTTAGACACTGTCTCAAAGTAAAAAATAAGCCAGGTGTGGTGGCACTCGCCTGTAATCCCAGCATCTTGGGAGGCTGACACAGACTCAATGAGACCCTGTTTTAAAAAAAAAAAAAAAAGGAAGGGGGCTGGGGACATAGCTCAGTTGGTAGAGTGCTTGCCTTGCATGTACAAGGCCCTGGGTTCAATCTCCAGTACCAAAAAAAAAAATATATATATATATATATATATTTGGGCTGGGGTTGTGGCTCAGTGATAGAGTGCTCACCTAGCATGCATGAGATACTGGGTTCGATCCTCAGCACCACATAGAAATAAAATATTTTTAAAAAGAGTTGTTGTTTGATTAAAAAAAAAAAGAAAGAAAGAAAGGCTGGGGATGTGACTCAGTGGTTAAGCAACCTTAGGTTCGACCCAGTAAACTCATCTTGAAGGATAACACGACAGGGCATGAGAGTTTGAGAGAGTCAGCTCAGCCTTCTGAGCTTATTTGAACATCAGAAATGTCAGCTAAATCCAGACAAAGTAGAAAATAATATCAGAATTTCTCAGATGATAAAGACAATGAGGTGAGAAACAAATTCATGCAGAGAATAGCTACTAAAGTAACCCACAGTTACCTTTATTAGTATACTCCTAAAGTGGAGACTTAAAATGGTAATGTGACATGGGACCCATAAAGAAGGATGAAGAGTATAGGCTCAACCAAGGACCCATCTATATGGAATACATCAAAAGCCAGAGTCCCTGTCTACCCCACAGATGCACTTTGCTTGAGTCTGCCTGGGATTCCTGTCCCTCGTGTGCTGCCTCCCTTCTGACTCAACCAAAAGTCCCTAATAAATCCTTGCCTATGCTTAAATTCTTTCAGGTTCTGGTGTTCATTTCTACAACTCTGGGTCCAAAAACCCAAGCTTCCTTAACGGTGTTAGGTTTGTTAACAGAGGTGACAACAGGGGCTGGGAAGATGGTCTACTCCTGGCACTGTTCATCATCACCAGGCAACAGGTGAAGGCCAAGAACTGCCACACTTTGACAGCCTGTAATCCCAGCGGCTCAGGAGGCTGACACAGGAGAATTGCGAGTTCAAAGCCAGCTTCCGCAAAAAGGAAGGCACTAAACAAACTCACTAAGACCCTGTCTCTAAATAAAATACAAAAATAAGTCACTGAGCTCAGCTTCCAGGATGGGAGGAGAGGTGGACACCAGACCAAAAGAAACAGAGAATAACTGTGGATGGATGAACTACTGCCTGTCTGTGCCTGAGTGAGTTAACAGTCTGGTGTATATTCTTCCATGGACACCCCCTCCCATTTACACACAAATATAAAATTCCCTTGTTTGTTCTAAAAATGGTATTGTAGCTGGGCACGGTGGCTCACACCTATAATCCCAGTACCTGAGGCTGAGACAGGAGGATTGCAAGTTCACATAGCTCAGGTCCACATTGTGGACCAAGTTCAAGGCCAGCCTCAGCAAATTAGTGAGATCTTTAGCAACTTAGTGAGAACCTGTCTCAAAATAAATAAAAT